TCTCTCTCTCTCTCTCTCTCTCCCTCTCTCTCTCTCTCCCCCTCCCTCCCTCCCTCCCTCTCCCTCTCTGTTCTTCTCCCTAAAAGAAGCTGCATCTTATTTACAGCCACACAACAGTTCAGATTACAGGATCTCTGCTTCTCTTGGACATCCGGTCCAAGGAGGTCCAATTAAAAAAAGGAAGTTCAGCTTTGAAACTATTCCTTCGGCTTGGAATCAGGAGGGAAGAGCTTTGCCCTTTGAAAACACTGACTCCGTGCTCGTCCTGCCAGGGGCAATGCCAGCTCTCCTTAAATGCCCCCCTTTCCTTTCCTAAGATTACATAAGGCATTGGGGAAAACAGCAACACATGTGAAGATGTGTCACCGGGAACCACCCTACAGATGTTTCCTGCAATGGGCGCCAAAGATGCAGCTCAGCCCAAAGCAATCTAGAGATCCTGTCCCAACGCTTGTGAGTTTGGAGCAGCAGAAAACCAGTGGGGAAAACCAGTGTACCCGTTTCCCGAGACCAGGACTTCTTCATCTCACAGCATCTCTTGGTAGGTCTCGTTGGCTTTCCCAAACCAACTTCTATCCCACCGCACCAAAGTTTCCCAACCGTGGCAACTTTTAAGAGGCCTGGACTTCAATTCTCCATGCTGGCTGGGGAATTCTGGGAGTTGAAAATCCAGGCTTCTTAAAACTTGCCAAGGTTGGGAAACGCTGGCTTGGAAATCTAGCAGCGGTTCCCAAGAAGTTGGAGAGGAGGAAGAGGAGGAGGAGAAGACATTTTGGCTTCTAGGAAGCGGAGTTTGGAAGCCAACCATACATACATTGTTTCTCCATAATTGACGCTGCTAACAAACGAGAAGAGAGTTCAGTAAAAACCAGAAAGGCTGTTCCTTGTGAAAAGTTCATGAAAAAGGTTATTCCCAGCCATGGATGGTATTTATAAAGTATATTCAGATTAAATATATTCAATTTACTTGCTCTGCCTCTTGAGTCTCGGTAAACTTGCTCTGGTGCGCATTGTTCTTGGGGCATTCGCACATTACATTACAATTGACAAGCGATGGACTCTATGTGGGAATCATCCTCATTTGCCCACCGACAATCAGATTCTCCCCACTCCAGTTTCATCCTGAGCCACGTTCTTTGCTTTAGAGCAGTGGTCAACAACCAGTGGGCCGGGGGACCACTGGTGGTCTGCGAGAAAATTTGGGTGGTCCACAGAGAAATGTCCCCCCCAAAACAATCCAGGCTGCGCGGGAACACAAGGCTGTGCCACCCACATGGCCCATGGGAACACAAGGCTTGCGTCACGAATATCACGAGGTAGTGAGGGGAGGGGGAAAAGGGCGGAGGGGGGGAACTTGCCCCACGCGCCCCAAGCTTCTTTCTGCTTCTGTTTTTGGCTGCCAAAGTCTGTCTTTCTCTCCCTCCAAACTCCACCAGAAATGAGTCTTTGGGACCCCGCAAGGCCTCCTGCTCCAAGAGGCTGAGCAGGCAAAGATTTATTTCTGGAAGAGTTTGGGGGAGAGAAACAAAGGTTTCTGCTGCTTCTGCTGTTTTCCTTGCATGCGGCCAAAAGTCTCTCCCCCCCATCTCTCTTTCTCCCCCTGAGAACAGAGCTGAGATCCAAAAGGTTGGCGACTCCTGTTTTAGAGCTCCCAATTCCTCCCACTGACCCTGATCACAATCTCGCAAGCACAGATAGTCCTTTGACTCACAACAGTTCACGTAGTGACGTTTCAAAGTTACACCGCCACTGGAAAAAAAGTGACTTAAGACCATTTTTCACACTTATGACCGCTTCAACATTCCCATGGTCACATGATCAAAATTCAGATGCTTGGGCACTGACTCACATTTATGATGGTCCCGGGGTCACATGATCCCTTTTTGCGACCTTCTGACAAGCGAAGTCAATGGGGAAGCCGGATTCATTTAACAACCATATTCCTAACTTAACACGGTGATTCACTTAACAATGGTGGGGAGAAAGGATGGTCAAATCCAGCAAAAGCTCACTTCGCAACCGTCTCACTTAAGTGTTGTTGTTGTTTTCAATCAGGGCAACCTGGTCTACCCAAATATGGGATGGAGCATACTGTTCAATATGTCGACTCATATAAAATGTTTCTCTGGTCTTTTTAGAGCTGCCAACAGAAAGGGAGAGGGGAGCAGTGCAGCAGCTTGCAAACCGAAACTGCATTCCATAAACGTTTTCAAAGATAGTAACTAGGCGACCGAAGTTTCTGCCATGGAAAATTCTAACTGGAGAGCATGATTGATGACTCTGGGCTATGGACGTGTCCCATTGGAGAATATGAATTACAACTCTGGGCTATGGACGTGTCCCATTGGAGAATATGAATTATGATACACCCAGGGGGTGGGGGGAAAACCAGGGTCAAGGGTGACAGTGAATTGTGTGTCTCAGAGTCGGCTACATCCAGGCAGTGCTGGACATGTTAACTCCCAAAAAATCATTTTGAAGTTTTGGAAGTTTGGCTCGAGACTCATGATTTAAATGGGGGGCAACTGCCGGAATCCTGACAATAAATTTAACACGACAATTATCTCACTTAGCAGCAGAAATTCTGGGCTCAAATGCGGTCTTAAAAGTTGAGAGCTACCTGTATTCTCTAAAAATGAACATCAAAATTCAGGTGCAGGAGATTCCGCATTTTGGATCATTTCACATTAATCCAGAACAGGACAACCCTAGAAGTTCCTGGACGAGTAACAGAAAGAGAAGAAAGGCAAGCGCAGTTCATGAGAATCCTTGGAAAAGAAAAGAAAAGAAAAGAAAAAAGAAAAGAAAAGAAAAGAAAGGAGATAAAAACCCATGTTCTGAAAATCCCTTTTGTTAGGGAGCAGATCTGAACACCAACAGCTGGGCTCAACCCGGCCCTCTCAATGAAAAGCAATCTAAGACAGGTCCATAGGGTGTAACTCACTCCAGTTGCACACTCATTGCCTTGGGGAAGTGGTGGGGAGAGCTAAAAAGGAAATTCCTGAGGAATGAGGTAGTTTCTGAAGCAATCAGGACATATATTTTTTCCTGAGAAAGGGGAGGAGGACGGAGAAGAATTTCAGCTGTTTAAAATCTATACACACACACACACACACACACACACACACAAGTCGTGCATACATGCACATTCCTTCTGAGGGTTTTTATGTAAGTTTGGGGGAGAAAATAAGAGCAAAGAGTCAGCCTAATTTCTGCCTCATTTAGCAAGAGGGTGTTCTAGTAAATCAGTGGGCTACTTCTGGAAGCAGCAGCCAAAAAATCCAACTTAACCCTAAGTTGCAATAATAGAGGGATACAATCGAGATCAAGGGAGGTACTAATTCCACTCTATCAAGCCTTAGTAAGACCACACCTAAAGTACTGCATCCAGTTTTGGTCACCACATTATTAAAAAGATGTTGAGACTCTAGAAAAAGCACAGAGAAGAGCAACCAGGATGATGAGGAGACTGGAGGGTAAAACATACGATGGACTGGGGAACTGGGCCTGGCTAGTCTGGTGAAGAGAAGGACCAGGGGAGACATGAGAGCATCTTCCAATATTTGAGGGGCTGCCAGAGAGAAGGAGTGGGGTCAAGCTATTTTCTAAAGGCCAGACAAGGAATAATAGATGGAAACTGAACAAGGAGAGATTCAACCTGGAAATAAGGAGAAACTCTGACAGTGAGAACAATCAACCAATGGAACAGAAGTTGCCTTCGGAAGTTGTGGGAGCTTCATCATTAGAGGCTTTCAAAAAGAGACTGGACTGCCATCTGTCAGAAATGGTGTAGGGTCTCCTGCTTGGGCAGGGGGTTGGACTAGATGACCTACAAGATCCCTTCCAACTCTGTAAATCTGTTATCTGAAAAGGTGATGCCTGTGGGATCGGTTCGTTGTTTAAAACTCAAGCGAAGGCCTTCCAGATTTACCTAAAAATTCCCCCGCAAGATGGCGGCTTAGGAACTTTTGTGTGCTATGCACTGAAGGAAAGAACAGGAATGGGGGCAAGATAAAAAGAATGCTAAATTGCAAGAACAAAAACATTCTCCAACGAGAATTTAGGGAAACTTGCATGCAGGGAAAAAAAAAAAAACGAGGAAAAAGATCTAGGCTGTTTGGGGGTCTCCATATCGCGGGGTTTTTGGGGGGGCCCATTTGGGGGGGTTTTGGGGGGGGGGTGTTTTCCAGCCATGGGAAGCCCCAGGTGGACCAAAAGTTTAGGAGATAGCCTTTGCTTTCTCTCCACGCACTCTTTCAACCTCTCCTGGTTCCCAAAAGATCATTTCCAAATTGATCACCACGCTCTGCCTGGACCTGGCGGTCCACCATTCCACTAACAAGGACCTTGGAAGGAATTCTACTGAAACTTATTTCCCAGGAAGAAGAGCCCAGCACTAAGAGAAGCGAGTCCGACTGAGTCAACTGGTCCTTCAGACCTGACCCAAAGGTGCTTCCAAGCTCTTCTCTTTCTGAGCCAAACCAACACACACACACACACACACACCGGACATCCGAGGTCAAAAGGGCCGCCGCAACAATGCAATCAAATCCCCGTCTTTCTGTCACGTTGGGAGTGACAGCTCGACTTTGCCCCCCAAGGGGCCGTACCTGCAACCCCCCTCCCCAAATGCAGGTTGACCCCACCCTTTGGGAAGAGACCTCCCGTAAAAAGCAATAAAAGTACATTCAACCAACTCTTCACACGCTCTCCTCAAAACTCTCCACCTCTTCCTCTTCTGTGTGAGATCTGGGCAAAAAGAGTGTGATTTTTGCGTTGCTTTTTAAGCAATTTCTCTCTTTCCCTACAAAATACGATCAATTCCGTCCACTTCTGTACAGATAAAAAATTCCGATTTCAGGAAAGAAACCATCCTTCAGACACACCAATCTAGAACCAGTTGATTTTTCTCTTAAAAAAAAAAAAGCTAAAATAAAATTAAAGGAAGAGAGAAAAGGTGATAAGAAAGCCTGATTTTTTTTATAACAACAACAACAACACACACACGACATACCAGGGTTAACGACAGGCCTGTATATATATATATATACACACTCAGGTTTCCCACATTTATTGTGGCATCTCGGTCAACAGATCAGATTAACTGGCCCAAACGGTTTTGTGATTTCAACCCCCACATCCTCTTCCCAAAACCCGAAAAGAGGGCAGGGGGGAAAAAAATAAAAGGTTTAAAACCAGTGGCAACAAGAGTTCTTTTTTTAAAAAAAACTGTACATGGTTTTTTTTCTGTTCAACTCACAAAGGAACCTTTCCCCAAAGAGTCTCTTGATGGTATAGACGTGAAATCCGGCCCCTCGGCAATTTTTCTCTTTAAAAAAAAGGTCCATTTTTTCCCTCTCCTTCTCCAACGGCTTTTAAAAAATAATAATAATAATAATTATAATAATAAAAGGAGGAGCAGGTGTAGTTATCTCCATTGTCTTTGACCCATGAGGAAGAAAAAGAAGCTTAAGAGAAGAATGGCTTCCGATGGGCCGAAATTGCTGGCCAAATCAGTCATTTTTTGATCTATTTTGTTGACGTTCTGTGTGACTTCGGTGGCATTCACCACAAATTCGGGAGAGCACTGGTGCAATTCGCACCCACTTCCGCTGCCTTCCCCGCTGCTTTCGTCACCTGGTGGGGAAAAAGGGGGAGGAAAATAAGTAATGATCCACTTTTTTAAAGATTCAACCAGATCTGAGATTTCTCTTCCTGTTGCTGGCCTGCCTCTCCTTGTGAATTCAGACACGGGTTACAAACTAATCCAGTATTTTGCAGCCTTGAAGACGGGTGGACTTCAATTCCCAGAATTCCCCAGCCGCTTGAAGAAGGGTGGACTTCAACTCCCAGAATTCCCTCCCAGCACAGTTGGGGACTTCTGGGAGTTGAAGTCCACCCCTCTTCAAGGGGCCAAGGCTGAGAAACACAGAACTAATCTGAAGACAATGGGCAGTTGCATTTTTATGGTGCAAGTGATCCTCATTTAACTGTGATGACCCGGAGTGTAACACAAACGTAATAAAATCCAAAACGTAAATAAATGTCATTTAATGCCTCCAACTTGGCCCCACTGTTCAATAATTCTCAGTTGGAGATTAAACTTATTCAAAAATTAGTCTTCAAAAGAAAGCAATACAGTCTGAACTCAATGAGCAGATGAAGGTGAAATAAAAAACCAAAACAAACTACAATAAAGGAATTTCCAAAACAGACCAGGATAAATAATTATCAACTTCAAGGAGATAACAAGGCACAATCTGTTGGAAGGACGCCAACCAAGATAACTTCAGTCCAAAATAAAACACACTTTGCTTCTGGCAACGCTGTGTTTTAACCGTCCCTCTTATATGCTATTCTCCCCAGCTGCAACCAATGAGGGGGATCGTGGCCGCTTCCTCTCTCACAAGCCAAGTTGTTTCCTTCTCCATTCCTCCCTGCATTTCCTGGGATGAAGAGGGGATGGGCCTGGGTCCTCCTCTGCCCTTCCCCAGCCTCCTCCACACCCTCCGGAGCCCCACTTCCACTCCCTGTCGGCTGTTCCTCCTCTCCCTCAGAGTCTGACTCTAACAAGAGCATGACAACGTCCTCCTGGGGCCCCCAACACCTTCAAGCCTTTGTTCAGCGCCCGGCACATCGAGATCTGCTTACTGATGTCAATGAAGTCCACGTCGTTGCCGTTGTAGGCATTCTTCAGCTTGCTGATCATCACGCGGAGCGACATGATTTGCCGACGGATCAGGATGTCCGGCTTGGAAGTGTCGACTTCCACCTCGGGGTTGTTCGCCTGGTTGGCTAAGCCATTCGGCATCACAGCGAAGAGATACCTGGGGAGAAAAGGTTGGCACTCCAGGTCAGGCGCAGGGTTGACCTCAGTGCAGGTAATCCTCAATTTATGCTGTGGCCTTTCGTTTATCAATTTCATTTCCATTATGGTCATGGAGAAGCGTGACAAAGTCATTAAGAACCACACTTAAAAAATAAATAAGAAAAACAAAGTAATATTATTCTGACCCGGCTCCCCAAACACGACAAACCCTCTGAATTTAAATGAACGATTCCTTTAATTAGGAGCGCCGGCAAAACGTTTTTCTCTCACCGCAGGCTAACGAATCCGGCCGGCTGGGAGATGAGTAGTAGTCTGCCACCCCTATTCATCTCCGCCCCCTGCCTTTTATCCCCAGAGCTCGGGTGGAGCTTTGCTAGCAGCGGTGGCTCTTCCAGCCCAAGGACCAGCCCATAGATTTCCACTGCTCTCCTCTCCTCTGCACATCCACGCATCAGGCACTGGACTCAGCTGTTCCTCCTCTTCCTCATCAGCCACCTCCAGACCTGGGGGCTGTTGACTCTCCATCTCAGGGCTGACGGACAGCCCAAGCTCCGCCTCTTTCAATCTGCCAGCTCCGCCTCTCTCTCTCTTCCTTCTTCCCCCTCTGAACTATCACGCTGCCTCCCTCTCCTCTGGTTTGGTGAGCCGGTGGCCTACAGGCCACAACAAATACATTACGGTTAGTGTTGGATTATCGGTGGGCAGCTGGAGTCTGCCTAATTTTGCAGAGGGCATAACAAAATTGGGCCACGTGCAAAGAAACCACTAAACCCCTTGTTTAATGTCGGTTTCAAGTTATGATGGCCCTGGAAAAAGTTACGACAGCCCCTCCTCAAAATGCAGCCAATCGCCCCATCTCCGTGGTGACGTGATTGGGAATCTGGAAGCTTTGGCGGCCGGCCGACTTAACAATTATGACAGTTGTACAGCCCTACAATCACACGATCACAATTTGTGATCTTCCCACCTGGCTTCCTACAAGCGAAACCAAGGCGGGGAAGTTGGATTTGCTTAACGACTGCAGTAAAATTGGTGATAAAATAGGTCCCATCATGTGATGAAACGGAGTATTGGGTCCCCTGAAAGTGTGATTTGTTAGGCTTCACTTTTCTCCTATGTCTCCAGATTTTCTGGTCTACAAACATTTTCAGCATGTGTGCAAATTTAGCAGCTGAGATTTGTCAATGGAACAAGCCATGGTTTACCAGGATGCATGATCAAGGAATGAAGTAAGCTGTGACTTTTAATCATGGCTGAAAGCCACCTGGTTCACAAGGAACATTAAACCAGGAAACGTGGCTGAGAAAGTGCAGTCACATATGAAAAGCACCCTCACTCTAAACCCCAAGCCCTGTAGGCGAATTCTGCCATGGTGGCTTAATCAACCAAGCCATGCGTGTCAACATTTCAGGCTTTATGCCAACAAGCCAGCTCGAAAGGCTGAGCATCGGACGCTTCTTCACCTGCTCTTGTTCTTTCCGTTCCAGCATTCTTCTTCGTGAACGTTGCTGGCCGTCATCTTCTCATTGCTACAGATGTTGCTGGGAAGGGAAGACCAGAACTTCTTCGCCTGCTTCAATTTCTCCTTCACGTCGGTCACCTTTGGTTGAACAAGAGAAAAATCCAGCTCAAATGGGCGCCACGTTCCCCTTCGATATCAGCAGTTGCCTTATCTTACCGCCCAGACCCTGTTGGTTGGCGAGTTGAGGTTCTCCAGAGCAGAGTATCTCCACTTTGGACTTTTTATGATGTGTGGACTTCAACTCCCAGAACTCCCCAGGGCAGCCTTTGGAGTGGTAGTGCCTGCTCTCCGTGGAATGCCGTATCCTCTGAGGTTAGATCAGGGGTAGGGCGGAAATATTTTACTACCGGTTCTGTGGGTGTGGCTAGGTGGGAGTGGCCATGTGACTGGGTGGGCGTGGCTTCTTTGTGTGTGTGTGTGTGTGTGTGTGTAGCACACACCCACACCCAAGTTTTTTGGCCTCCTGGGCCTCAGGGAAGCCTCCTGGGCGAAGCAGTAAGACAAGCGAGGGAAATCCCAGCACAGCTGATGGTCAGAACAGCTGATCGTTGGGAAGAAAAAAATAAATAAATACCGGCCTTTATATATCATTAATCAATTTGGCCTCTGCACACATAATAGGCCCTTCCAACCGCCTCCCACCTGTAGTTCACTTTTTTGCTTCAGTCATGTTAGTCAAAGGAGGCTCGTCTCTTGTTGTCGGTTCCTCCCTTGTCAGACCCAGCCTGGAATGCTTGTCTCTAGGAGGTGCAAGGGCTAAATTGATTAATGATATATAAAGGCAGAGATCTCTGTAATGGTAGCTCAATACTCTGACGATGTCAGCAGAGGCTGACGAAAGCTTAGTAAGTACAATAAATATAATGTTTAGTTCCGGAGATTGCAGGATGTCGGTTTCTTCAGATATATATATGTATATATATATATATAATGGTATTCGGCTTTGTTCGGGTATTTTCCCACGTCATTATAGTTGTGCTTTTAAAGTTGTAGCAACATTTCGGCAGAATCTCATCTGCCATCATCAGGCTTCTGTGTTGTGTTCGTCTGTGAGTCAGACTTTTACAGTTGTTGCACAATACAGAAGCCTGATGATGGCAGATGAGATTCTGCTGAAACGTTGCTACAACTTTAAAAGCACAACTATGACGCGGGAAAATACCCGAACAAAGCTGAATGCCATACATATGCCCTCAGTACCCACGAAAACTTGAGAAAAAATATGTATATGTATATGTATATGTATATGTATATGTATATGTATATGTATATGTATATGTATATAAATAAAAGAATTCTTGGAACTGGAGACCACCCATCTAAAATAGAGCAACACCAAGATCAATCTATTTTAATAATCTTCATCATTGGGGAAAAGGGACCTGTTCCTTCTTTGGGAGGTCAAAGCAGAACACCTGGCATATCATCCTCCCAAAACTTGACTGGTGGGTTTGATTGCGCTATTGGGGCCCTTCCAAGCCATAACGGCCATTAGCCATTATTAGCTCTGTACTCACCAGTCGATCCAAACTCGTCCCTGCAGCTGTTGTGGGACGTTCCTCTGGGTTGTAAGGCCTGAAGCGGGCACTGAAGCCGCTGTCGGACGCTGAGCGAGATGTTCGGCTTTGTGCCAGCATCTTGGGTTGCCCACACCCTTGAAAAACCTAGCCCAACGAAGACACAAGACAGCATCACATGTTTGTGAACTTTCTCTACAAACTGGTTCTCCCCACCCAGACTGTCATGAAAGCAAGGGTAGCAGCAGGCTGGAGGTCAGTCTTCCATAACCTAAATGACCTCCAGAGGTGTTGGACGTCCCACTTCCTTGCCTATGAGGAATTCTTGGTCATCTATGGTGGCTAGCCAAGTTTTTATATTTAATATTTACATTTCATGGCCCAAATTAGTTGACCAATTTCTGTTTTGGAGCACCAAGTAGTTAGAAACTTTTTGTAAGGATGAGGACTTTGTCACAAAACATTCAACAGATGACAAATCATGAAGCCACCTGAGATTATTCCAGCACTGGGCATTTCTTTCCTGAAGTTCTCCTTCTAGGTCAACCAATCCCCTTCTTGCTCCCCCTCCCTTCTTAAACAAAGCCCCCTCAACGTACCTTTTGGGACACCTGTAAGCTGTTTTCTTGCATATTCATGATGGCATCTGAAATCTTCACATCAATGGGGTCCATGACAGACTCGATGTTGAAGGGACCTTCTAACCTCTCGGCCAACATTAGCATTGAATCTAGGCAACAAAACCCAGAGAGAAGCAGACATGGCCGATTAGTGCTCACACTGGTCTCGAAATCTTTAAAAACCTGTAATTCCAGGGGATGTGCAGACCGACAATTGATGCCTTCAGGACGTTCTGGAGAAAGTCCCAGAACTTGTCAAGACCAAAACTACTTGCTGTCAACCCATCCTTCTCAGCTCCTTCCACAGTCAACCAAATACATGTCCTATCGATAAACAAGCCCATTATTATAAGCCACAACAGTTACAACAGTTTTCTGTGACTCCAAACCCACTTAAGATTTCAAACCATTCCCCTCTCTTCTTTATCTCCAGACCAGTTTCTCTCTGGTCCTCCCTGAACAGCCCAATTAAACTGGGTTCTTGAGAACGGCAAGACAAAATGGTTCCCAACCGCCTTCTTCTGGAACATGTTAACTTCCCAGTCTGGCCAGTTGGGGAGACTTTTAAAGGAACCCCATCTGGTTCTTCTCACCCAGGCCTGATCTTGAGCCCAGCAAAGGGGCTGCCCCTCAATTGCCCCCCACCACAAAATACAAATCCCTCTCAGATTTCTGCCCTGAACAGCCCTTGGCATTCGGACACTGAACATTGGCTAAATTCTGCTGACCGCTGTTGCAAAAATATGACGTATCCGGTTGATTTGCTGCTCTTCTCCATGATCTCAACCCTTTTAGAGCAGAAAGATAAGTTTTATTAAGTGCGATAAACAGTCCCCCAACTTGGGCTGCCGAAAAGGGGAGGTGAATCTACAGGAAGGGGGGCTTGTTAGGCAGACAGCGCAGTGCCTCCGAAGCCGGCACTTCTGATCCGCCTCTTTCTCCTCTGATTCTGTCTCTCTCCCCCCAGGGGAGATTCCAGCCTCTTCAAATTGCACCGTCTCCTCCTCCGAAATGTTGCAATCAGAACAAATTATCTAAAATAAACAAGACCATCTTGCCTTCCTCTCCCTGCCCTGTTTACTCAAAGTGGGTTTCGGGCCTTCCTGTTTGCAGAAGCAGAAGTCAAGAATCGGCACATGGGGAAAAGAGGCTCCGCAGGACTCCGGCCGATTCAGAGGTTGAGTCCCTCAGGGGAGGAAAGGAGGACACGGGGCTCCCGGCTCACAGGGCAGGATGGGGGCGGCAGAACTCCCCAAAGGAAACCCAGGATCTTATGGAATTAGGAGACGACAAGAAGGGAGGTCCCGCCTTTCCGGCCAGGGAAGCGCCAAGAGATCGATGGCGGAGCCATTCAGAAGGCCGGCCGGCCACCTGCACAACAACATACATTGTCCCGGTGCAAAGCCAGGACCCCAGTGGTCCAGAAATGAAGGGGCAGGAATGAAAAGCGGAAGGAAGGGAGGGAGGGATGTGGAAGAACAAGGAAAAAGACAGAAAGGGAAGGAAGGGGAAAAAGGGGGAAAGGAAGGAAGGAAAGGAAAGAAGGAAGGTGGAAGAATGGGAAGGAAGGAAAAAGCCAGAAAGGGAAGGAGGGTGAGAGAAAGGGAGAAGGGAGGGAGGGTCAACAAAGGGGAAGGGGAGGAAGGAGGGAAGGAAGAAAAGAAGGAAGGAAGGAAGGAAGGAAGGAAGGAAGGAAGGAAAGAAAGAAAGAAAGAAAGAAAGAAAGAAAGAAAGAAAGAAAGAAAGAAAGAAAGAAAGAAAGGTGGAAGAATGGGAAAGAAGGAAAAAGACAGAAAGGAGGTGAGAAAAAGGGAGAATGGAAGGGGGAGGGTCAACAAAAGGGAAGGGGAGGAAAGAAGGAAGGAAGGAAAGAAGGAAAGAAGGGAGGGAGGGAGGGAGGGAGGAAGGAAGGAAGGAGGTGGAAGAACGGGAAGGAAGGAAAAAGACAGAAAGGAAAGGAAAGTGAGAGAAGGGAGGAAGGACAGAGGAGAAAGGAAGGAAGATGTGGAAAGAAGGAAGGTGGAAGAATGGGAAGGAAGGGAAAAGACAGAAAGAGGGAAGGAAGATGAGAGAAGGGGAGAAGGGAGGAAGGGTCAACAAAGGGGAAGGGAAGAAAAGGGAAGGAAGGGAGGCCTCACACATGGACGTGGACCCCTTTCTTCTCCTTCAGAGATTACTACTCTCACCGTTTCAGACCTCTTACCCATCATTGCCCTCAAAGGGGATTTATTACGTTTTAACCAAACGGTCCTTCATTTCCCAGGACTTCCTAATCCCCCCTTTGCAGTGTCTTCTCTGTAGGGGACAAAGTGCCTTTTTTTGAAAGAAGAAAAAAGAAGAAGAAGAAGAAGAAGAAGAACCAACCCATCCCCCCAGCACCTTCTATCCTTTTTTTCTCTGGCTCTCCCCTACCGACCCTTCCCTGCGAGAGAAACCGAGGAGTTGATTTTAGCAGTGGGCAAAAGTGAACGCCAACCTGTCTCCAAGCCTGAATGGCCACCTTTGTGCTCTCCTAAAAGAGCCCTTTTGTTCCATCATTTAAAAAAAAAAAAAGGTGGGGGGGGGGGGCAGACCCAGCCTGGCTCACCTATGAAGCTGTTCCACTCGGTCTCCAGCTCCCCCTGGTTGGCCAGGCATCCGCGCATGACGTTGAAGCAGTAGTTGTAACAGGGCTTGATGGCCACGAAGCCACGGCAGAACGGGCAGTACATCATCTTGGTCAGGGCGCGGACCTCTTGGGGCGTGGGGTTGACCTTTGGGGAGAAGCGGGGAGGGGCAATGGGGAGAGGAAGAGACACCAAGTTATCGGGGCTGACCGTCGACTTATAAATTTGTCGGAGGCGATGAGGACGCCGTTGTTCTGACCAAGGCGTTAGTCCCCGAACCCTTTTTTCTTTATTTCAACGGCTGTGGATTTTAGTCATTCACAGCCTGCAATGAGTCCCAAACAGTTTGTAAATAATTCCATGGAAGTCTGCCAAAGTCCTTCAGGATAAGTCTGATAAGCACCCACTTTTATCTTCCTCGAAAGGCTGCCAATGGCTAAATGTCCAATTAGTTATCCGAAGCCAAAACAGAACACAAATTCAACACCAAGCTTCAGGTTTCAAACCGACCAGTATGAACCAAGTTGCTTCCTGCAAAGGCTCCTGTCCCTTTGCTCCTCCTTTATGCCTTATGAGAGGGGCCAATCACCTCCAAGCCTTACTCCCGAGTTGCCCCTTTTGTCTTAACTGTTCTTGCCTTCTGGCAGCTCTACGCATACGCGCACTGGGAAAAGGCTCCCCTTGTTCCTCTGCCTCGCTGATGTCAAATTCTGGAGGCTCCGGAGTCGGCACATAACTCTCAGGTGGCCCTGGCCCCATCTCTGTGTCGGACACAGGACTCTCATCCAAGTCCTCCCCAGACTCCCAGACTGGCCCATGTTCCTCCCCACTGTCCTACTCTGCTGCCAGCTCCGCAGGCTGCCGGTGGACCACAACAGGCACCATCTCCACTTACAAGGCCATAACTAGGAGTAAAGGTAGGTATGGATGCCTCCCAGGTATGTCAATAACTCCTGGAGGTGCTGACAGGTACGGTGAAGGTGTCCATGCTGTACCCAAACTACCTTGGTCCAGAAAATGTGATTAGGAAAATATTAGAACGTGCAGAAATGAATAGATTAACACTTGCAATTAAAGACAAGAAGCAATCTGAATATTATAAAGATATGGGAACTATTTTCTCGATGGTTAGAGAAAAACCATGAAAGCTAGAAATATCTAATAGAGTAGTAAAATAAGGAAAATATCCTAATAGAATTAAACATGGTAAGAAGAGGATTGTTATAATGATAGATATATTATAAATACCAATAATAAGTGAAGATCTAAACATGTTATTGTTGTAGTGTAAGAGATATTATGTATATTAATAACAAGATAACAATGGAGAACTAATATCAATGTAATGAATATGGTAGACATTTTGATTATTGTCGCACAAGAGATCTGTTCCCAGACGACACACCGTTAAGTGGAAGATGAATTGTTTGTACTTATAAAAAAATAAAAAACTTTTATTTATTGTCAACATGTCACACCTTCTTCTGCTGGAGCCCGAGGTAGATGGATGGGGATCCCAGTCCAAGTGGACCCAGTACAATTATTTCAATCATGCCACAAAAAGAGACGTCAGCAACACACTTCACAGGTTATTTTAATCTGCTTCACCCACATGTATGTGCGGTGCGTAGGCAGTGTAGCACGGCGAGTTCCCGTTTTTAATTTTCAAAAATTATAGACAGAAGGGGAAGAAATATGTGAGCTGCATTCTGCTAAGTTTCTCCAAGATGGTTGAGGACAATGACCGAATTGGACGGTCTTTACGCTGCCCCGATGACTTGGGCAGTTTGCACAAACATCACACAGAGCAATCATCGAAAACACAAAAGGGCACACAAAACCGGCCCAAAGGCAAATTTGGAGGAGGTTAGCCTCAAAGGTGAATCCCACCATTTAAAGCACAGAGCCTTCTCTGCTCTGCAAAATTATGACAGGCTTCACTTTGTTACAGAGGCAGGGATTACTAGATTTGGCCAAAAAGATCCACACTGTTTTCCTTCCTACAGCCTTCTTCCTCTCTTATTTAATTACCAAGTCCGGGTGATTGTCCAACTTTGGTGACTTTAAAACTTCTGAAATTCAGCTCCCAGAATTCCCCAGCCAGTCATCCAATTCCAAAGCCTTTTTTCCCCCCCTTCTTCTTAATTTAGAGCAGGCTTTCCAAACCGGTTGACTTTTAAGACCTGTGGATTTCAATTCCCAGAACTCGCCGGCCAGAATTCAGGGAGTCAGAAGTCCTACAGGTCTTTAAAAAGTCACCAAGGTTGGAGACCCCTTTCCTAGGTGATCCCATCCAATCAGAAAGCGCAGAGCAACCTGGATGAGACCAGCCCACCGGATTGGGCAAACCTATGAATAAAAGTAAATTGGATTTCCCAACGTTTAGGGGAAAATCTTTCCATCGCTCAGTTGACTCACGATCTCAGGCAGCGATTGGGACCTCGTGGCATTAGGTAGCTGGTTCACCTTTTGAGACCCCAACCATGCCATTAAATGCACCTGCCTTATTGAGGACCACTTTTGACCCCTTTCAAAACAACCCCTGATTAATCACTTAATTGGGGTGTGGATCCCACGCTGCTGCCAGAATCTATTCATGCCAAAAAAAGAGCTCTTTCCTTTTTTTGGCTCCAGTATAATTTGAATGACATTTAGCCATATGGTCTTCATTACCAAGAAATTTCTCTAGTCTACGAGTTGCAAAATATCAGGTTTCTCTCTTGCATGAGTCACTGTGGGGTCTGGCTTACATATTTCTCCTCCCCCTCCCCTTTTTCTTCTTCTTCTTCTAAATATATATAATAAGATTGCCCCAAGGTTTGGGCAGGAAATCTCCGTGTTGCCCAGCAATTTAAAGCTGTTGATTTTAATGCCTGTCGGGAGTTCAATAATATTACAATTCCCCACGCCGACTTTTGCTATTTCCAAGGGGAAATGAGAGGATACATGGAAGGAAAAGTTCTCATAGCCCAAAGACTTCGAAAGGCACCAAAAAACCACGATGCATAACTTCCCATGGACGGAGAGCAGAGCGGTGGGAGGGAACTGAACACAAAACGGCCTCCCAAATTTGCAGCAGGGACTGGAATGTTGGGTGTCTTGTGTTGATCTGCCCCTTGAAATCAATTAGGGTGAATTTAAACACTGCCCTTAAAGAGCAAAAGATTTGCAAGGGCCTGCTAGCTGCTCAAAGAAGACCTAAATGCAGAAAATCATCCAGAACTCTGTCTTCGTTATCATCGCCTTTCTTTCTCTCTCTCTTTTAAATTTAACAGAAGAAAAACAGAGGTGCTGCTTGGACCGATCGAAAAAAAAATAAAATTGAAATTTGCTCGGTTAAAGCCAAGTAAATGCACTGCCTTGTTTAGAACCTTTGTCTACAGATCTCAACCTTCCGTGAAGATGGACCTATGGTGGAGCCAGCCACGGGAGGGTCGATGGCCCCAATAGATGGATCCTTGACCTCTCTCGTACACGTGCTTTGTGACATTGTTTATTCTTTCCTATAAAATGACAACAGCAACTGCACAACTGAAGTCCTTTCCCCCCCCCCCCCCTGCGATCTGGACTTCTTGGGGTTCTCCCTATGATTTATTTTCAAATGTGGGTGGTTAATGCAATCGGTTGTCTGGGACACCCCTATGAAAAGGTGATCTCCCCAACCTCAAATTGGTTCTGTGTCAATGCATAAAACATTCATATGCCTGTTTTAGTAGTTGCCATAAAAAAAAAATGGCAGGGAGGAAGGAAATCTGGAAGAGCAGGGCAGCAGTTTGAAATGTGGAAGCACATTCCAACTCTTCTCTTTAAAAGACTGTAACTAAAATACCAGAGCTTTTGCTCATGAATATGTTCAATTGGAGAACGTGATTGATGACACCCAGCCTGTGAACATGCTCAACTGGAGAATCTGATTATGACACACCCAGCGGGGGGGGGGGGGGAACAGGGTCACAGGGGACTGTAAATTATCTATGCCAGAGTTGGCTTCATACAGGGCAGTGCCAGTATGTTGCCTCTAATGAATCCTTGGAAGTTTTTTGAAGTTTGGCTCCAGAATCATGATTTAATTAGGGCGATTGCTAGAATCCTGACATTCTCCAAGCTGCCCAGCCACCCCTGAAGCAAAAGCCCCCACTCACCGCAGAGACTTTGCCCACCACATCCTTGGCCACAGCCAGGCCTTGGGCAAAGGTGCGAGCTGCCACGAAAGCCCGCGTCACCTGCAGCTTCAGCTTTCGTGGGACGTCTCCAAACGGTTTCAGCTGCTCGGTGTACTTGCTGACGCACTCCAGGTACTCGTCCGAAAAGTGATACTGGGGGTTGACCAGGCGGAACATGCGCTCCAGGAGACGGGCCCAAAAGTCATTTAGCATCTCTTCCAGGTTGACTCTGCCGCCCATGTAGTATCGCTTCAGCTCCACAAAGAGGTCCTTAAACATCTCCGAGTTCTGCATGTACAGGAGGCCATAAGTCCGTACAAACATGTCGTTCAAGGATTTCTCAGCGTTGTCCAGGAGCTCTCGGAAAAATTCTGGAGGGAGAGAAGGAAGAAATTTGACTGCAGGGAACCGGTCGCCATCTCAGGTAACGTTCTGGAGAACATTCCACCAAAATGGAACTGGTGGTGTCCACACGTTGGGTTGGAAAGCCAAGATGGTAACCATGATTGTGTGGTTGAAAAGACCATACCTGTTTTGTACATACGGCACACACACACACGCAAAAAAAGGACAGGGGCCTTGGACACAGGATGATAGTCCCCCATCTTGACCTTTTGACTCTCCTGCAGATGCTATGACAGGAATATTACCTACAATATGCAGATACTTCTCTATTGTTCAGTTAGAAATAGGATAATAAGCAAAGGTTTTAAGCGTTAATCAAGAAGGGAGAATATTTTGAATAGTTTCTTGACACAAGATACAGAAAAAGCCAACTCAATAAGTCCATTTCTTACTTATGCTTCTCACACATATTCCTATTTTGTCAAATCTAGAGGTCCAGATCAGTTTACCCCCAAATAAGCATCCAAACAATGAAGACATCCTTATCTGGCATGTTCCTCGCCAAATCAACATTGGTAAAGTTGGCTCCAACTTGGTTTTACCTTTTTGTGCTTTGCGAACCCAGGTCATGTGATCTGTTCATGGCTCAACATTATCCTCCAAACCCAGGAAAAGAAGATTGAATCTACACATCCTGTAGAACATGGCTACCAAATCTTCACAAAGTAGAGTCCAACTTCAGAGGTCATCCATCTTCCAGGAGTTCAGCAAGGATGGGAACTATCACAGAGTTGGCCAGGCGGACACACAAATGGTCTTGGAGGACCCAAGGAAAAAGAAAATCAACCAGCCACAGGCAGACGGCTTTGGAGCAATACAAGTGTCGGTTGTGGGAATATTCCACACCACGCCTGGGAAATGGGACCTCAGAGAAGAGAGTTGAAAGCAGTGGTGGGATTCACATTTTTAAACTACCGGTTCTGTGGTGGGCATGGCAGGGGAAGGATACTGCAAAATCCCCATTCCCTCCCCACCCCACTAACCTGCTTTTCAGCTCCATTCTCCTGTGCAGGGCAACCAAAGAAGACCCAGATAAGCTGGGACTCGGGAGGCGGAGAATAGATGGGGGCGGGGCCAGTCAGAGGTGGGATTTGCCAGTTCTCTTAACTACTCAAAATTTACGCTACTGGTTCTCCAGAACTGGTCAGAACCTGCTGAATACCACCTCTTGTTGAAAGTGGGGGAGGCCCTCTGCAGCCAGAAAGTACCATAAAGGATTTGTGTTCAGGAAGGCCTCCTCCAAGAAATGTCAAGGAAGCCCAACAAGAAATATTTAATACCGCCATGTAATCGCCTAAGAAATATCTAATAGGGGACAGGCGTCTATAGCACAAAAACAGTTGGACTTTTCCCAAAGAGCTTCTTTGCAAGATGACTACCTCCCACCCGTCCTGCGTGGAACAGGTTTTATGATTTAATGTCCGTCAATGACAGCTCGGGACTAGCAGTTAAACACTACAAAGGTTCCATGCAAAGTTAGTTTACTGGATATGTTAGGCATCCTCAAAGTACAACTCACAGTTATGTTGAGATCCATCTAACGTCCAATCTTTGCCTCAATAGTTGCCTCTCCCGTTTGATGCTGGGTCCAGGTAAGAATGCCCCCAAAACTCCCCCAGCCCAACCAGAGATCAAATCAGGGACCAATCAGGATTGCAGATGTGACTTCGTGACATGAACTACATCTCCCATTAGGTATTAACTACATTTCCCATGAAGCATTCCCTTAAGGGGGCAGCTCTCATTCCTAAACTAACTATATAATGTCTAACCAGCACAGGGAGAGTGGAGGAATCAGGCGGAGGACGAATTCACGGGATGAGAGAATCCATAGGGGCTGGGATTTGGACTCCGGGCATCAAGCCCAGCCTTTTCCTGGCCAGGTGACAAAGTTGGCGGAGGCTTCAATCCAAAACTCTTGGGTGTCCTCCTTCTCCAGACCTGGGCCTGGCAACTCTGTTTGAATCACACAGGCCTCTGTGCTTCACCCTCAAAGGGGAAGTGTTTTCGACTCCAGAATGGCTAGAAACTGGCGCAGAGAGAGAAAGAGAGAGAGGCAGCCGGGGGAGAAATAACTTTGGCCCCCTTTGAATTTAAACCTTGTTTAAAGAAAGGCTGCAGTGGGTTGGAATTTGGATTTTTTTAAAAAATCTTCAAAGGGCTCCAGCACAAACAAAATTTGACTCAGGACATTTGGGTGGGGAGGTGACTTTTAAAATATATCCAGAAGGAGGAGGGTACTTTTGAATATAGCCATAGGCTCTTGGCCAGGGTTCCCCCCAAACTTGGCAACTTTTAAGGCTTGCGGACTTCAACTTCAAAGCTGGCTGAGGAACTCTGGGAGTTGAAGTCCTCAAGTCTTAAAGTTGCCAAGTTTGGAGACCTCTGTTTTAAGTATTTGTGGACTTCAGCTCCCAGAATTCCCCAGCCAGCATGCCTGGCTAGGGAATTCTGGGAGTCGAAGTCCACAGGTCTTAAAAAATGTTGCCAAGGTTGGACACTCCTGGTTTAGAGAAAGAGTTGACCAGGATGAATTATTGACCATTGTGTTAGATGAAAACCAGAGGGACTTTAACTTCCCGCCTCCACCCCAAGGACGGTTTTCAGACCCTCCCTGTCTCCCAGCCCCATCCTCCTCCCCAAACTTGGCTGGGGGAATTCTGGGAGTTGAAGTCCACAAGTCTTAAAGTTGCCAAGTTTGGAGACCTGTGGACGTGGCCAACGAAAGAAGAGCTTGAGGAGCAGAAGCGAAGCAGACAAAGCTCAAGGCAAAGCTCCTGGTGACTTCCCAACCCACCCCAGTCATAAAGTACCCCTTGGCCAGGATCAGCACCAAGGTGTCTCCTCTTTCCCACGACCGGCACATCCTGCCTGCAATTCTCTCCTGCTTTCTTCCATGTTCAAAACCTGAACAGGGTGGGAGGTATTAATTTCTAATCCACTTAATCATTTTGAAGGCTCACTTCCTCTCTCTCTCCCCCCACCCCACCCCCAATCCTCTGCCTTCCTGACCTTTGAATCGAAAGGCTGGATCAGTTTTCCTCTTTGGACCGCTTACCTGGAGAATAAAAAAAAACCTCGGGATCAGGTTGGCTCTGAAAATAACCCTGAATTCCAAAGGCCTGCGGGCACAGAGGTCTTGGTGCGTGGCCAGTTTTTTTTTTTTTTTTGGCTGGTCAGAATAAACAAAGAGTTGGAAGGGAGCTTGGGAGGTCATCTAGTCCAACCCCCTGCTCAAGCAGGAGACCCTATACCAGGAGCCTCCAACTTTTAAGACTTGTGAACTTCCAACTGCCAGAATTTCACAGCCAAAGTTGGAAATCTATAAATCATAGAAAGTTCCCCCGCCAATTGCCGTATACTATTTTGGACAAATAGCAGTGCAGTCTCTTCTTGAAAAACTCCAGTGATGGAACACCCACAATTTCTGGGGGCAAGCTGTCCCACTGGTTAATTGTTCTAAATTCTCTTTATTGCTAACTAGCTCGATACCCGCGCTTCGCTACGAAACTATGTGGCCGGGCTTAGTTTTGGGGGAGGAAAATAAGGGGGAAAAATTCTGCCTCTGCCTACCAGCATCCATCGGTACTCATCCGGCTAGCGTCCTGTCAGTGTGTGAGAGAGTTGAGGGCTGTTTGGAAACTGAAACATTATTTGCTGTGTGAGCAAGAAGGAGACAGCAAGGAGCCTGGGCGTGGCTTAGCTCAACGGTTCTGTACTAAAGCTGCTTGGTGCTGTGAAACTAAAACTGAAACTCCTCTCCTCTGCTTGTGTTTTGCATTTGGAAGAGATTTCTTTTCGGGGGGAGGAGGAGGAGAACTCCTTAGCATCAGAGCGTGTTAATAATAATAATAATAATACAAGAAATACTCTAAATGCTCTGATGGTCATTTAGAAAAAATCCTTTCTTAGTGAGCCCCTAGAAACCAAGAGGAACCTAGGTGCCAAATTTCAAGTTTGTAGGCTTTACGGTTCTGGAGATTTTGTGATGATGCGTGAGGGGTATTCCGCTTTTATATATATAAACTGCCAGCTGGTTGGGAAGGCCCTGGGTAAGTCAAGGGCCTGGCTGGGCACCCTGTAACCTCAAGCTAGCTCACCCCGCTCAATTTCTGCAGCAGATCTGAGATTTGAGGTTAAATAAGCCATTGTCCCAAGAGGGCAGCGGCTCCAGTTATTCTCCCAGCCCAACCCCCCCAATCTGAGAGAACAGCAGTTCACCAACCATGGCAAGTGGCAGGAGGTAGATAAATACCTACTAGCCCAGGTGAGAATTTGCTCTGAAGGTTTGTTCTGGGTTAAGTATTAATTTTCCCCCTTGGAGAAGGCAGATCGATACTGATTAACGAGCCGCAAGGTGGCCCAGGAATAAACCCTCCAACCTTGGGGGAAGAAAAGGGGGGGGGGGGAGATAAAAGAATGGTGGGTGGGCAGGTTGCTATCTTGACAGTTTGAAGGACAAAATAAATTAACGCCTTTTGTTTGTGTTGGGAGCAAGGCTTGTTCTCAAACACAAGCTGGACGTTTGAGAGATTACGTTCTTGTTTTTACAGCGTTGTAAAAAAAAAGTGTGTGGTTTACAGTGTGATTTAGGGGGGGGGGCTTGCAAATCAGAGCCTTGAAATTCTCAATGGGGAGGGTAAGCCGGTCAAAGCCCACTGCAGAGGCTGAAAGGGGGGGGTCTTTCTTAGGAAGACCCTGGACTATGAACAGCCAGAGAGCTGTGGCTCCATTTGGCTTAGAATGGAATCGTACTAATGGACATTGGACAAGGCTGTGGGGAATTGTGCGTGTGTGTTTGAGAGTGTGAGTGTGTGTGTGTGTGTGTGTGTGTGTGTGTGTGTGTTGCTGGGTTTGGGGCAGAAAATGCCCCTTTTGCTGCATTTTTATTGTTGTTGTTGTTGTTGTTATTATTGATCATCGCACAGTCAGTCAGATGTTCAGACTGGGCTTGGCATTTTTGTGTACCTATCGAGTCCTTCCCAAGGACCCGGAATAGGCCAATCTGGATGTTCAATGGGTGTTACAGATGTCGTCACAGAATGGAAGCTGTTCCAATAAAAGCTGCCTTCTGCAACTGACGGATGGCACATTGGTCAATGCCAGCGGTGTCCAAGTAGTATTACTGTTGTTGTTCTCCTATTCTCCAAAGCGCCTGATTGCAGGACAAGAAGCAATAAATGGAAACTAACCAAGGAGAGAAGCAACTTAGAACTCAGGAGAAATTTCCTGACAGTTGGAACAACTAACCAGTGGAACTGCTTGCCTTCAGAAGAAACACTGGAAGTTTTAAAGAAGAGATTAGTCTGGAAGGATACAGGGTTTCCTGCTTCAGGAGGGGGCTGGACTAGAAGTCCTCCAAGATCCCTTTCATTCTGCTTACTTTCTCCAAGGGGCCCCGTCTACCAAGGATTACGCTTATTGATTTTCATCTCAGCCACACACAGGGGAAAGAAATTCTAAACAACGATAGAACCCCTTTTGGGGGGGGGAGAGAAGGACTTTGATTTCTCTCCTTGCAGGGGCCCTAATTCAGATCAAGAAGGACCCTTGCTGGTTATCCTAGCATCCCCTTCACTGATTTTCCAGATTCTCCCATAACTCAGGTCATTTCCTGCAACGGCACGCCTAGCCCTTTCGTGGGCCAGAAAGCGGGGTTCATCTAGCAAGAGGCCAAGGCAGGCAAAATGCTGCAGAACAAGAATGGGTCCATTCACAAGTTCGGCCCCCCGAGATTTTGGTGGACCTGTGGCCAGAACTGCAAGGCGAGGCGTATACCATCTACGTGCCAGAATCGGGAACAAAGTGTCAGCAGCCTCTGGGTGGGGACATCAAAACAGATGGGCTCTTCCTGTTAAATCTTCCACCTCTCCAGACTTCAAAAATGGTGTGTGTGTGTGTGTGTGTTGGTCTGCGATTCAGTGGAAACCATTTCGGGAGAGAACGATGGGGCTGGGAGACAGGGACGGCCTCACAACCATCCTTGGGGTGAAGAAGGGAACGTAAGTCCCCCTGGTTTTTATCAAGCACAGTGATCGATTCATCCCATTAATCTTCTCATCCCTCCTTATCACCCACCGCCTCCCACTTGTGACTGCAGGACTGCAACTTCGTCCCTTGCATCCTTAGGATTTATACGGACTGTTTCCTAGTATGATTTGATGGCTTATTGTACCCGATGACGATCATTAAGTGTTGAACCTGACGATTCTTGACTCTTGATGAATGTATCTCTTCTTTTACGTACACTGAGAACATTTGCACCGAGACAAATTCCTGGTGTGTCCAATCACACTTGGCCAAGAAAGACTTGTGGACTTCAGCCCCCAGAATTCTCCAGCCAGCAGAGCTTTACTCTCTTGTGATCCCTTCCTCTGCAATCTCTCCACTTTGGCAGGTAGGAAACAGGCACAGCTGGCTGAGGAATTCTGGGAGCTGAAGTCCACAAGTCTTAAAGTTGCCAAGTTTGAGGACCCCTTTCTTAAAAAGTTGCCAAGGGTGGACTTCCTTGCCCTAAACATTTGCTGGATAGCTGAACAAAAGCCGGAGGACAAAAGTTTTTCCTCTGCCCTGGACCGACCGTCTTCCTGCCTCCTGCAATTTGATTCCCCAGCCATCTCCTGACACCTCTCTTGTGTCCTCCCCAGGATCAGAAGATCTGAGCAGGAGCCTTCCTAGGAATTCCAGAGAGCCATTTGGTCTGGAAAACCATCTGTTAGCACTTATCGGCATAGGAAAGAGAGAGAAAGAGAGAAAGAGAGGAAGAAGGAAGGGAAGGAGAGGGAAGGGAAGCCCAGCTGAGTTTGCGTTTGTAATTAAAGCACCTTTAGAGAGGGAGGGGCAAAGAAAATGTGCTTCCCGGGGGAGGGAATTTGCGAGCCATCTGTCTGCCTTGCCAAAAAAATCCTCCCCCTCAACGTCAATTTGCTGGCCTTTTTTTTTCTTCTTCTTTTTTTGCAGCTGGGAGACAGGCCAGAGCAAGGGTAACCCTGCATGGATTGTTCCTAGTTGGACAGCTGCCCAAGCGCCAGTAAACAGGTCCTTCCTCCCTTCCACTCTTGGGTTTTTTTTACATGCCCAGAATTGACTCCCACACATACCCCCCCCCTCCTCACAAACACAAAACGATTGGAAGCCCAAAAATACGCTGAATAAGTTTGCAGGAACTGGGTATGTCTAGTCTAAAGAAGAGAAGGAAGAGGGGATGGCGTGTTCTCCAAAAACACCTGAAGGTAGGACAAGAAGCAACGGATGGAAACAGATCAAGGAGAGACCCAAACTGGAATTAAGGAGAACCTTCCTATCAGGGAGGACAAGTGGAACAGAAGTTGCCTCCAGAAGACTATAGAAGGAACACATCAGACATCCAGGCCTTGCTTATCCATGGAGACCGAGGGGAGCAAGTGGCCACTTTTAAGTTTCTGGGTGTTACCCTAAAAGAGGACCTGACCTGGGTTGCCCACATTGCAGCCCTGGTCAAAAGGGCCCAGCAGAGATTATACCACCTGAGGCTTCTCAGGAAACAACAACCGAATGAAAAACTGTTAGTGACCATCTACTGGTGCACCAGAGAGAGTATCTTAACTTACTGCACCTCTGTATGGTTTGCCAATTGCACAGGGGCAGATAGGACAGCATTCCAGAGGGTTAATATCATTGCCCAGAGGATCATTGGTTGCCTTCTCCCCTCTTTGGAAGAGCTTTATAGCTCCCACTGCCTTAAGAAAGTTCAAAACATTTTCAAAGATATAACCCATCCTGGGCACCCTTTTTTTGAACTATTACCACCTGGCAGACGGTACAGGACAATAATAAAAACAAGGAGAAATAGGCTGGAAAACAGCTTCCATCCCAGGGCAGTAGCACTTTTGAATTGTGCTGTATAGTGCAATGTTGGTGCAGGGTTGCGGGTTTTCGGTTCAATGTGTGGAGGGTGAAGGATGTGTGTTCGTGTTTATTTTCATGGTCATGATGTGCACTGAAGATGGGGTTTGACTTCGTTGCGGGAAGTGCAATGACAATAAAGTAAAGTAAACTAAACTTGTGGCTGCTCCATCACTGAAGGCTTTTAAGAGGAGACTGGACAGCCATTTTGTCTAGGACGATATTGGGCCTCCTGCTTAAACAGGGGGTTGGACTAGAAGACCTCCAAGGTCCCTTCCAACTCGGCTATTCCCTTCTGCACCTTGCCCTTTTGCACCTTGCCCTTGGCTAGGTTTGATTGAGTGGGGGCTTCCTTGACGCCATTTCTGCTTCCTGGGGGGGGGGGGGGCACCTGTCTTTTAAAGCCATCAAGAGTCCCATCCTGTCCCCAAATCCAACTAATGATTATTTTTTTGGGAGGAGGGGCTTCGATTCTTATTTTTTTTTCTCCATGGTGACCAGATCAGAACCCTGAAAGAAAATGCCCACCCCCTTTTTTGTTCCTGACACACACACACACCCCACCTTTCCCTCGTCTTTACTTGCCTCTGGGGGGGCGAGGGGGGTCAGATTTCAGCCTGTCCCCTTCCCGGGCTGCCTGGGCCTTTGCGTGTCACGACTGCATGTAAGAACAGCAGCAGCTAACAGCGGAGAAAGGGAAGCCGCAAAAGCAGAAACAGGCATCTTTTAAACTCGGGGAAAGCCGCACAACCAAAAACATTCTGGAATCACCTTTGAGGTCCGGTGTTGTTTTAAGGCCTCCTTGCAAAGCCAGGCGAGAAATAGAGACATTTGCTGGCTTTTCCTTTGTCTGAGAGGCTAAAGTCTTGCCTTGAACGAAAGAGCTGGAAACCAGCATTTCCCAACCCCCCCACCCCAAAAGGGGGGAGAATAAACCCCTTCCGGGCCCACCTGTGTACCGGTTTCCAATCCTCACAGCAACCCAGGAACCACAAGGCTCCAGGACCATCAGGCTGGGACTTGGAACGAGTCAAGGGGGCTTATGGGAGTCACACTGTGACATTCAGGTTCTGGGTTTTAGGTGGGCATTTAAGGACCCACAAGTGGAAAACATGGTGGTTGCCACTCAAAGGGACTCCATCAGTGCATCTGCTGGATGTGTTCGCACCAAGCAAGGGTCATTTCTGACCTGGGTTCCACCACTCAGGAGTCACCCAGCAAGAGACGTCATGGGAGGAGAGAGGAAGAGGCGGGGGAGGGGGGGAGAAGGAGGAGAAGGAAGAAGAGGAAAGGAGAAGAGAGGAGACAAAAGAGGAGGGGAGGGGAAGAGGAGGAGAGACAAGAGAGGAGAGGGGAAGAGGAGAGATGACCCAAACCAGCCCTGTCTGAACAAGCCCCCAACACGTGAAACCTTCGATTTGGAAGCCGCCAAGGAGCAGAGAGACTCACCATCAAACTTTTTGTATCGCGAACCGAAGGTGCCTTGCAAGTTGTTGCTCAGCTCGACCACGGCATGGCTGAAATCTTGCCTGCTCTGCTGCCAGTACTTCTCCTCCATGGCCTGGGAACAGCAGGTGTAGCCTTGAGGGCAAACTTTCAAGTGATCACCTAAAAACACACACACACACACACATCAAAAGGAGAACTTCAGCACAGGCGCCCAGGGTCCACGCCAACGCCCTCCTCAACTGTGCCAACCCACAGAAAGCAAGTTCCCCCACCCGGTGGGTGTTTCGTAAGGGCATCATCTTCTTCTTCTTCTCATGGTTCTTAGAACCTGCCCAACCTCTTGTAAACGCCACTCAGGGTGGGTTACCCGAGGTAAGCCTCCTAAAAGTAAGGATTAGGAATAAATCAAAACAAAAACCAAGAGTCATCATAAATCAACCAGCCCACCAGACAGAGGCTGAGTTAAGGGCCCCAATAAAACACATCTGTCTCAAGCAATCGTCTAAAAAAACCACAAGGGAGCTTCCAAAACGTGAGGGAGGCCCCAGAGAAGGCCTTTGTTTCATCCTTGCACTCAAGTGACCTCAGAGAAAGGTTAACAGATGTGCAAGCTCACCACCACAGCCTGGGGGAACCAACAAAACCGATGACTGCCTTTTGCGTGGCGCTAAACCAGGATTCGTGGCTTGGTTGGCAGCCAGGGCTCTAAACAGCTTCCACGCAACTTCAAGGTACAAATGATGGCCCTTGCAAGGGGGAAACCCAGCCCAGACCCGCGGGCATTAAAAATGCAAGCTTCTTGTGATCTTTGTTTGAACCCTGCCCCTAACCATGTCAACATGTTTTCCGATCAGTCATCTTTTTCAGCCGAGTAATAAATCCATCCTTAAATCCATGTCTCAGACCAAAAATTGCAGGCTGAGTCACAGACGAGCGTCATGCCTGGCTTGGCGCAGCTTTCCTGTTTTCTACGCTGGAAATTTTATGGGCCAAGGACAAAGAACCAGCCCGTAGCACGCGTCATCTTTTGGGTACCCCTTGTTTGCGCAGGGCTCGTGTTGAAAAAGCATCCCCCATTCCACTAACACCACCTCCAGATTCCATCAAATTGAACAGAAGTGTCGGAGAAGAACAGGCTGAGCTGGACGGTGGAGTTAAACATGTCAACGGTTTAGAATCAGCTGGCCAGCCTAGAAATGCCCTTTGAGTTTTCCCTGCCTATTCAGCCACATCTTTTCAGATTTTCTGATGCTTGCACTGCGGCCTTATCTGCACAACCCAACAAGTCACGAACAGCCTCAATTACAATCCCTGATTAGCCAAGCATGTTCTGGAAACCAATCCCAGATACTTGGTTTACAGTTCAGTGTGTGTGGTGTTAGAAAATAAACCACAGGCAAAGATGTCTTACAAGCAGCCTTGATCCAAAGTCCACCCTTCTCCCATACAGTCCTTGATAGAAAATGTCTTAATTTTCAGAAGTTATCAGTAGGTAGGATCATTCACCTTCATTGTTCACCTTCCATGAGTTCACGGAAGCTTCCAACACCCAATGTTCATCAACTGTAAGACCAGAAGTGGCCAACAAAGTTGGCCAAATCCTGCCAAGCTCAAGATGCCCCACCCTACTGCCTTGGTTCTTCCCATCGTCCTTCCTCTTCGGAAGTACTTGGTCAGCGTTTCTAGCTTAAATGCCAGTCCTCGCTCCTGGACACACCAGCGTGCATTGTCCTCTCCTAATGGTTTACGACTTCCCCTGAAAATCAGCCATCAAAAGAATCCGAGGCTAATCCAATTTCACACTCAACTTGCCCTGGTCTCCTTATCAAGAGAGATTAAGCTTCCTCTTATCACTGCTAATTAACATGCTTGCTGGAGGATCCCGCTGAACAGAGAAAGACCAAAAAAGCCTCTGAAATACACAACGGAAGACAACACAAAAGGGGTTGTTGTTTTTTTCCCTTGCTTACAAAAATGGGCACAACACAAGGAAAGTCTCTCCTTGGTCACCTGGAATTATCAGTGGTCAGATCCAGCTAGGAATGACCACCCAACCCAATTCCCCCTAGCCACCACGCTCGTCATCTTCAAACAAGATGACACAGAAAAAGGACGTTCTCCATTATTCATTGTGCAACCGCAATTTTATTTATTTGGGGGGGGGGAGTTGCCTTTCAACCCACAGCTGGAGGGGGGGATGCACAGCAAACCCTGCTTCCATTCCCCCCCACCCCGCCAATAGCAGCCGAAGGGCACGATTCCACTTCCACCCACAAAGAAAAGAGGATTGTGACAATAAAATTTCATGATGCCACAAAATGCTGGGTTCCGTTCTGGCAAAAATGATTTAACATCCCAAAAAGCTCCTAGGAGGAACTTAAGTACTTTGGCCCTTCTTGCTTTCTTTTTTGCTCCTCGCAAAACTCCCCAGATATTTTAAGTTATTCCTGTGGTAAGAATTAAAAAATACCTTGAACAACCCGAGATCGGTGGGATTTTATTTATTTTTTAAACACTCCTCCCCCACCCCCCCCCCCCCGCCCCCACACAAACTCCATTTTACTTACTGACAAATTGAGGCTTGTGGATTTACAATGGAAAGAATGCAAAGCACTGAAAAAGGAGCGGGAGAGATTTATGCCTTGCGCACTAGAGCCAAAAGTTACATTAAGAAAACTTAATTCTGTTCTGGAAACGAAAGAAAGAAATAAGAGAAAGCAGTCTGCCTCTTTACATCGTCCTCCTTCCGTTTCTCTTTCCAAATCCTACTTTTACAACCCCAAGAAGCCTCCCAAACACAACTGCCTATAAATAACTCGTGGGTGTTTTTTTTCCCCTTCTCCTTGTATGGAGCAGGCCAAAACAAAAGTCCACTGAGATTTATGGCTGTAATCGTAGATCATAATAGGGCGCAAAGCAGAATAATCATTAGGTTTCAACAATGGAACCGAAAAGGGAGAAGGGGAAGAATAGAACTAATTAATAAATCAAGATAAACGTGAAACTTATCTGATGAAAGGCCAGCCTGAACCACTAATCTTCTATAAATCATGCAAAACTAATCCTAAAGCGACAAGCTTAGCTAAAATCTAAATGTTGACTGGATAAGGAAGCCCCTTTCGAAACTTAATTGTAAACTGTGCCTCTTTCCTAAACCCTGTGCAAGACTTGTTTGCAGAAAGGCCTCAATCTGGTCTCTGAATTAATTCGTTTCGGGGTCCTTGCCTGACACATCCAACCAGCTCAATGGGCCAGGTTCACAGGATGCTTGCAGAGTCGGCCTCTTCTTCAAAGCTTCTGAACGAGAAGCAAAGGATGGAAACCAACCAAGAACAAAACCCAACCTAGACCCGAGAAGAAATTTCATGAGAATGAGAACAATTAACCAGTGGAACTGCTGGCCTCCAGAAGTTGTGGATGCTCTATCACTGGAGGCTTTTAAGAAGAGCCTGGACAGAGACTAGCTAGAATGTATGGTAACCAATCTCCCAATTGCTGGAAATGTAGGAAAGCACAGGGTTCTTACTACCAATACATGGTGGGCCTGCAAGAAAGCACAGGTTGTTTGGCACAAAATTTGGTTATGGCTAAAAGAAATGACAGGGCTTGAAATTCAGTACACACCAGAGATGTTTCTATTAGGAATAATGGAGGGGAATGTAAACAAAGTTGATACTTATTTAATTATACACATAGTTACTGCAGCAAGAATAACATTCGCCCCAAACTGGAAGGCACGAGAGATTCCAAGTGAAGGTGCCTTGATTGGGAAAATATTACATTGCATTGCGCCGAATTGGACAGACTAACACTTGAATTGAAGGGGCGAGAGGAACTAGAATATTACAAAATATGGAACTAATTTTATAAATGGAGGGACATGAAAGGGTGTTCATAGATTTAAAATAAGTAGAGAAGTGATAAAAAGATAATTGGAAAAATGATACACCCAAATGTATATAAATGTATTAACTTCTTTTCTTTATTTCTAATTGTTAAAAGATTAGACAGAAATGTACGTCAAAGAAGAAACACCACATTCACTGCTTTTAATGTTTATATCTAATAATTTTTTTAAAGAGCGTGGAGTCCACAAAGGTACAGAATCTCCTGCCTGAGCAAGGTGTTGGACTAAAAAGACCTCCAAAGTGCCTTCCAACTCTGTTCTGTATTTACAGAAAACTCTGTTGTTCTGTATTCTGTAGATTGCTCAAGGCCAACTGGTTGGAAGGTTGGAAGTGCACACAGGTTGGAAGTGCACACAGGTGAATCGAGCCAAAATTTATGGCATCTCAGGTGCATGAGTCCAAACAGAAGTAACCCAGGAGAACGTATTTTCATTGCTTGGTACAATCAAGGTAACAGCAGGGAACGATTCCTTTGCTGTCCACAAATGCTTTCCTCTACCTACCTCATTCTGGAAAGTTGGCCACCCATCTTCAAGTGGCCATGGTTGAGAAACACCACACTAGAGACTGGTACCCTTAAAGACACAGTCCCCATCCACCCGATTTCCTTCTCAAATGATTTATGGGTGCTCCATTCATACACGTTGCATCTCTCCCTTCTCGACATCCAGGATCCAATTGCAATTAATTTCCCTCTCCCTCCCACACCTCTACATTTCCAAAACCCTCCCTTGCAACAGGCCTAAAAATCACCTTTCCCCAGGCTGGCCTTGCTTTTGCCCATCACGCAAGTTTGTTTGTGGAAGCCTCCAAAAGGAATTTCTCCTAAGAGCGGGATGCGGAAAAAGAGATATCACCATGGCAGTTGCAAAAAGCAATTCTCTAAACATGGTGTGTGCCCTTGTGTTAAACAAAGCACACACACACCCTCCCCGCTCCACAAACGTCCATTATGGGGGGGTTTTTTGGTCATTAATTAATTTGAACCAACTGCCAATATCGCTTGCAAGTTCCCAAGCAGAGAGATTAGGAGGCCTTCTAATAAGGATGATTAGGAGTGAGTTGGGACCTTCAATGGCCTTCTTAAATTCCACATTCCATGCCTAATTTGGGGGGAGGGGGCCCACTCTGGTTTTCTCCCCCCACCCCACCCTCCTCTTCCCTCCAGCACCATTTCCTATCAGAAACTTACATCCTGTTCCTTCTCAGAGAAGCAGGGCAAATAATTAGGCTTAATCCTCATCAG